CGCCGCTGGGTGGCGGATGCGCTCGCCATGGCCAGGGGCGGCTCTACCGATGGATCCGCGGCAGCTTGGACGCCGAGCTTTTGCCTGCTGGCGCCGCTGGCGGAGGCGCCCCTGGCACCCGCCCATGGTTGCTAGCACTGCAGGGCGGCCCAGCGGCGCGCCTGCGGTTCTTTAAAGAACCGTGGAAGGCGATTTGGCAAGGCCCGCCCGCCCCGCCAGTTGCGGAGGAATGGCTGCAGGAGCTGGATGGTTTGCCGCCGTTCCCGGACCGGACGCCTTGGACGGCAGGCATGGTCGAATGGTTGCTCAGGCACGTGCCGAAGAGGAAAAATGCAGGGCCTCGACGCGTGGACCGTCAGCGAGCTCCGGCTGCTGCCTGCAGAAGTGCATGGCTGGATCGCCGAGCTGCTCGAGGAGGTGGAGGCCCGCGGCGAGTGGCCGCGCGAGCTCGTCGAGGCCGAGGGGCTGCTGCTTCCGAAGCAGGGAGGCGCCAGGGGCCTTTGGAGTGCCGGCCGATTCGGCTCCTTCCCATCTTGTACCAGCTATGGGCGGCCGGGCGCGCCCGGCTCTTCGCGCAGTGGCGCAGCAGCTGGGACGGCCTTGGATGGCGGCGCGGGGCAGACGAGCAGGCCTGGGAGCTGGCCTTGGAGCTCGAGGCCACTGGCGCCCTCTCCGAGGAGATCGTTGGCAGCGCCCTGGAGTGGAGTAAGGCGTACGACCAGGTGGACCTTGGCACGCTCCCGGCTCTGCTTGAGGCGTGCCGCGTTGGCTCGTGCGCCTCGCGCTCTGTGCTTATAGGGCCCGTCGACGAGTGCGGGTCGGCAGCACTGTTGGTGAGCCTTGGGTTCCCTTGCGCGGGCTGCTGCCAGGGTGTCCGGTCGCCGTGTTCGCGCTGGGAGTCCTGACCTGGCCATGGAGCTGCCGCGTCGCTAGGCTCAGCGACCTGCTCCGCCAGCGGGTGTACGTTGACGACTTCACGTTGTGGGTTCGCGTGGAGGCCGCCCGCCTCGACGAGGCGGCACAGGAGCTCCAGCAAGCGTTGCAGGTGACCGTCGCTTTCGAAGCGGCCATGGGGTGGCAGCTCAATCGGAAGAAAAGTCACCAATTCGCAAGTCGCCAGGCGCTGCGGCGATGACTGGAAGAACGGCCTCCTGGCATCCAAGCCCGCGCAAACTTCAAGGACCTTGAGGTCGATGCCACCGCTGGCAAGGCTCGTCGCTGCGCTGTCTCCGCTGGCCGGCTGGCTGTGGCGCAGGGCCGGTTTCCCGACTTGGCCGGTTGCCTGTCAGGTTCCGCCAGCGTTGCTTGCTCGGCGCCGCCGCAGGCGCGGCCGCGGGGCTGCATGGCGCGGCCCCGCCGCGCGGGATTTGGCAAGGCTTCGCACTGCCGCGCGGCAAGCGGTCTGACGCGGAGGTCTTCGGGTGGCCGCGGAGATCGTCTTCGGCGTCCTGGCCCCGAGTTGGCGGCTCGACCCAGCGGCGGTGGCGGTAATCGCACCGCTGTGGCAGGTCGCCAAGGCCATCCGCAGGCGCCGCTTCCCGACGGAGCTGTTGAGGCACGCCGCCGGTGCAATGGCCGCTGGGCACGGCCGTGGCTTCGGCCCCGTGGACGCGGCGCTCCAGGCTTGGGGCAAGACATCGAGTGCTGGACGGGCGCCCCCGCCGCCCCAGGAGGCTGGCGCCCTGTCTTCCGTGCCCTGCCTGACGCGCGAGGCCGTCCTCGGCGCCCGGGCGGCCCGCGAGGCGCGCGAGGTGGCGGGGCGTCGCGCTGGCTTCCAGCACCTGGCCGCCGGCGCCGACCGGTGAGCCACCAGGCGGCGCCTCGACGGCGGAGAGCTGGCGGCCGACGCTGCGGGCGCGCTCCGCGCCGCGCTCTCCGGGAACGTAGTCACGGAGACTGGCGGCCAAGTGGGGGCGCCCAGCGGCGCGTCCACATTGCGGCGGGGCGTGCGACCACCTGGAACGCAGATTCTGGGTCTGCCCCTGCTGGGATCCCGCCAGCGCCGCCGCGCTGGCCGCCGAGGGCCTCGCGCGCGCGACAGCGCGCGCGGCTGCTGGCGGATACTTCGCTCGCCAGGGTGTTGCCGCGGCACCCGCACTGGCTGCGCTGCCTCCCCCCGACGCCAGCCTGCCTCGGGCGCGTGCTTGGACGGACGGTGCGCGCGAGTACCCAACCGACCCCCTCCTCGCAAGAGCGGGTTGTGGAGTGGCGTCGGCATTGGGCGCGGCAGGTCGCCAGGAGCACCGCGGGATGGGGCGCAGACAGCACAGCGGGCAGAGCTTACGGCTGCGGCGCACGCGCTGTGCCTGGCGGGGGGGGCCCGTCGAGATGGTGACAGATTCCCGTTTCGTCAGCAATGGCGTCGCTGCGCTCTGCGGTGGCGCCTCCCCCGTGGACTGGGCGCACGTGGACATTTGGGATTTGGTCGTCCCTCATTGTCGCAGTGGCGCGCTGGCTGCGCGATGGGTGAAGGGCCACCTCGACGCCGCCGAGGCCGCCG